GTAATAATATATAAATGAAAAAAAATGCGTGACAATAAAACCAAAATAACGAGTTTTTTACAAAACTTCAAACAAACTTTTTTAAACACTTTTTTTTTTTGCATTAGACTATGCGAAATGACTGAACTTGACATTGAACAAGGTTATCAACTTTTATCAGACTTTCAAATATAAAAGCTTTTTTAAAATTAATTTTAGATATTTTTAATCGCTCTTTGCAAAACTAGCTTTGTGGGTCTGTATTTTTGTCTATTACGTTTTTCACTCAGTAAATGTGTGCATAGCTCACCAAAAGAGAGTATAAAGTTTTTATTTGTTTTATTACAATCAGATAATCAGTTGTATGTTCCCATTTTAAAAAACTACATAAATGATTCAAAAAGAAATTTGTTCACAAAAAAATACAGCACTTTAAGAATTAGAGTCTAACAACACATATACTTTTTTTTTATAAACTTGCTTCTTGCAATAAATTTATGCGTTTTTTGCTCATCGCTGCTGTAACTAATTGAAGATGAAAACTTACTTTTCTGAAGGCTTTTATTAATTCAGCTAACAAACGATAGAAATGAAGACTCAGTAATAATTTGGTAACTGGGTAAATTTTGTAAATTTATTGATACATAAACGAATACACATTAAACATTCTTATGTAAGGTTAAACTATATCTGACAGTTAAGCAACAACGCAAACCAAATCAGCCAATTTGCAGATTTAAAATTATTACTGTAACCAAATCAGAAAAAATATAATTAACTTCAAAAAAAACTTTAGTTTTTAAAGACAAGCTGTTTCAAAAAATTTTTAGTGTAGAAAGTAAATATGTTTTATCTGTAATAAACTGCTAATTAAAGCACCAGTTTCTATTACGCTGATTATCAGTCTATCTGATTAGGCGTTAAAATGCTGGTCAACCAAAGCAGTTTATAGCATTTTTAACACTAAAAATACAGTTTCTCCCCAATTTAATGCTTAAGAAGTAAGGAAGTGCTTCAATTTGTCATCATCGTTGTTCATATCAAGCTTTTTAATTTTATTCAGAAGCCTTTATTCTTTTAGATTTAGTTTGGTAGCAGGAGCGAGGACTACTTCTAATAGTTTACCATTTTCTTTTCGCTCATTATTTTTTGTGTTTAAAAAAGCTTTCGTCTTGTATATTTATTTATTATTTCACAATTATCTATAGGAGTCCTTCTCGCTTTCTTTCTAAATTTTTTTCTTTATTTGAGTCATTTAAAAATTTGCAGAGCATTTCCCATAAGTCTTATAAACAGAATATGAATATAAAAAACAACTATAAAATGGATTATTTTATAGGGTTTTTAAGACCTAAACTTTTTGAAGGTCATAACGCAACGAAAACACTAAAAAGAAAAAAAAATGCTGGGATACCTGCGGTTTGAGGTTATGTATACATAAGTCACCCAATCTACCTGTCAAATATCTATTAATTACAACATATAATTCTCTTCTATTTCTACACAAAAAAAAATAAAGAAGAAAAAACTTGTGCAAATTAAATCTGCCTATTTAAGCTTGACATTTACAGAAAGGAAAACTTTTTCTTTACTTTAAAATTTAAAGTTGTTAACAGTGGAACACCGAAGATGCAAAGAAAGACAACAAGTTTGGATAACCCCATTGACCTTTTAAAAAGAGTTTTCAGTTTAATCAAATGTAAATTTCACCTACTGACAGATTTTTTCTCTTCCGGCAACAAAAGACGAAAATTCTAATAGAACTGTACAACCGGTCAATAACCGTCTGAAAAAATCACTGGTGTAAAACGTATTTGTCTTTTTATTCATGCCTGAAAAAAGTTGTGCTGCTCAAATTGCATCTTTCTACAGCAGTGGTTTCACCTCTGCTGAAAAGTTTTTTAAAAAAACATAAAGCCATAAAAAAGTTAGTATAAATTTTTAACAAAAGCTTTACTAAGCAATAACATCATTATAAGAAAGTATTGAAATTGAAATTATTTGCTACGGACCTCTCTTATCCTCAGTGTTCATCAATAAATCATAAAAGCAGATGTTTCAAGATAACCATGTCATTCACATTCGGTTAAATCTTCAAAGCAAATGACAAATCTGTTTCAGTAACCTGATCAAAAAATTTCTTAGTGTTAAAAAGAAAAAAACGTAAAAATTTCCATGCTTTAAAACATCGAAAATAAAGCGTGTTATTTTATTATGTTACATCCTTCCTCCAACTGAGCTATAATAATTAGTAAGAAGCACTGTATTGAGAAAAAACATTGTTTCGCACAAATGCTAAATCAAAATCTTTTCGTTATCAAAAGATAAAGCGAAAGTTAAAAGTGTAAGGTATCAAAAATTTATAGAACCAATAAAATCTGAACAAGGAATTTTCTTGTTTTTTTTTTTTTTTTTTT